GACCCGCAGAATCAGCGTCGATTGGCGAGCCAAAGGTTCCAGGATGCTATAGCAACAGGAGTGGCAATCGATACGCGACTTTTCTAAATATCTCGAAGATTGGGAGTATTACTTACCCCCATACAGCGAGGAACAGAGAATGGATAACCTGCGTAGTAAGGCATTGAAGGTGCTACGCACCGAACTCGACCGTCGAAATCAAGAACCCCAGAACTACGAAGAGTTGCTTCGAACTCTACAGACTCTCGAGGAAAATATGCCGGAGCGACGACGCGCCATTCGCAAAGGCAGACCTGCGATATTCGTAGGGAATCAGCGTCGTTCTGATAAATCTAGCAACCACCGGAATAAAAGGAAACGAGAGGAACAGACGGGTTCAACCGAACAAACCAAGAAAGATAAATATAATTGGATGAAGGAGTGCTCACACTGCCATAAGAAGGGGCATATCGCAAACGATTGTTGGATGTTATACCCCGAAAAGCGCAACCAAGTCCGACAAGCAAAAAACTAGCAATCCCAATCGTAGGAGCAGCTGCTGCATTGGGAATACAGACGACTAGGCTGCGAGATAAACACTTATTGGCGATGAACACCTGGATGTTGACAGAAGCAGGATGGTCAATGGCGTGGACGTTAGTAGATTCTGGCGCGGATGCAAACTTCGTGTCCCATGCTTGGGCATCGAAATATTTCTCGAAGTCAGAAGGTAAACCGAAAGTAGTGGAAGCAGTTGATAATCATAGGGTTAAATCATATGGACAACGAAAAGCTGCAATGAAGATTATCGATGATGAACATGTCCTTCGGGAAGGATTCCACCATTTCGAAGAAGCCGACATCAGTGGATACGATGTAATTCTGGGTATGCCATGGTTGCAAGCTGCGAACCCCGACATTGACTGGGTGCACCTAGATACCGCTAAGGAATTTGCAACTTTAATGGACAACAGCAACATTATATTCGCCGCCTTTCCATTGCGAGCTGCGCACGCAGCGACTGAGCCAAATATCCCGGATGATTATAAGGATTATCTTGATGTATTCCGAGAAGATATACCTGACGCGGAACACGCACCCCACGATCATGCCATAGATCTCAAACCTGGCAAGGAACCACCGTACCGACCGATATATAACCTGTCACCTCAAGAACTCTCCGTCCTCCGAGAATATATTGAAAAGGCATTAGAGAAGAATTGGATACGCCCGTCCAAGAGCCCAGCCGGTGCCCCAGTATTATTCGCACCGAAGAAAGACGGAACCCTGCGTCTTTGCGTAGATTATCGAGGGTTGAACGAAATAACAGTCAAGAATCGGTATCCGCTGCCCCTGATAAGTGAAATACTCGATAGGTTAGCAGGTGCCAAAATATACACGCAATTGGATCTTAGGGACGCGTATCATAGAATTCGCATACGAGCGGGGGATGAGTGGAAAACGGCGTTTCGAACACGATACGGACACTTTGAGTATCTGGTTTTGCCCTTTGGGCTAACCAACGCCCCTGCGACTTTCCAATCTTATATCAACAAAGCCCTCAGTGATATTTTGGATGTATATTGCGTGGCTTATCTTGACGATATCGTAATCTATTCGAATACGCTTGACGAACACGTCGCCCATGTTAAGAATGTGCTGGAACGTTTAAGGCGATGGAGACTATATGTGAAACTTAGTAAGTGTACGTTCCATGCAACAGAAATTGGATTTCTGGGTTTTGTGATTACCACGCAGGGCATCACTGTCGAAAAACGCCGCGTCGATACGATCCTAGATTGGCCTGAACCGCGAACAATAAACGAGCTGCAAACATTCCTAGGATTCGTCAACTTCTACCGACGATTCATATATAAGTTCTCGATAATAACGGCACCCCTGACTGAGTTGCTAAAAGGATACGAAACAAAAAAGGGGAAGAACAACGCACCTGTCCAACTGAACGAGAACTGCAAGCACGCAATACTGCAGTTAAAAGAATGCTTTACAAAAGCACCGTTGTTAGTTCATTTTGATCCGCAGCGAAAACTCCGTATAGAAACGGACGGATCTGGCGTTGCAATCGCCGCAGTAATATCGCAATTAATGGATGATGGTCACTGGCACCCGATCGCGTTTTGGTCCAGAAAACTCACAGAAGCAGAAAGACATTATCAAACATATGATTTAGAAATGTTGCCGATTGTAGAAGCTTTCAGGCAATGGCGCCACTACCTACATGGTAGCAGGCACCCAATAGTTGTTTTATCTGACCATGCCAACCTCCGGCGCTTCATGACGACGAAGCAGCTAAATGGGCGTCAGATTCGTTGGATGCAAATGCTCTCAGCGTTCGATTTTGAAATTGAGCACCATCCTGGGGAAAATAATCCCGCAGATGCACCAAGTCGTCACTCAGATTATATAAAACACGCAGCTCCCTTGACGGGGCTCCCTACCCTGCAAGAGAAGCTGCGTAAGGGGATCTTTAAGTCACTAAAGACAAAAGAAAACACAAAGTTAGACCAATGTGTCAAGATGGTGCGAAAAAATCTGCAAGTTAAAGAAAATTGTTGGGCGAAGGGGCCCGTAGTCATCGATGACAACAAACCCTGCAGGATAAAGAACGCACCTGCAGATGAGAACGAAGTCGCCGGCGTTACGGGGTTAGACCTAGGGACCCTGGTGCCACGGATTCTAGCCGTTAAGGTATTTGAGTCCGAGATAGCCTATCGCGAAGAGGTAGCTGAATCTATTGTCGAACTCTTGCTGCAGGTTCAGAATAGGGACGCTGGCACGTCTGAACTTCGCAGAAGACTAGAGGTGGGTGACGCTAGCGTAGGTGATCGTTCGACCTGGGCAGTAGACAAAGATGGCCTGCTCAGGAAAGATGGTAAAGTCTACGTACCGCAAGACAAGGCCGTAAGGCATGAAATAATGAAAATGAACCACGATGATCCCCAAGGTGGCCATTTTGGACGTGACAAAACCATCGAAGCGATCAAACGCAAGTACTCGTGGCATGGTATGAGCGATGAGATTGCAGAATATGTGAGGACCTGCGATGTTTGCCGACGCGTCAAGATACCGCGGCATAAGCCGTACGGGTTGCTACAACCACATCCAGTGCCAGATAAGAAATGGCATACAATCAGTATGGACTTTATTGAAGGCCTACCAGATAATAAGAAGGGAAGTCAAACTTACAATGCTATTGTCATATTTGTTGATTTGTTCACTAAATGGGCCATAATTGTACCCACATCTTCAAAGCTAGATGCGGAAGGACTCGCGGACATTATTGTATGGAAGCTTGCGAAGAACTTTGGCCTACCTGCGAACATTATTAGCGACCGAGATTCATTAATAAACAGCAAGTTCTGGTCAACATTATGTTACTTACTCCATGTCCGACGAAAATTATCAACAGCCTTCCATCCGCAAACCGACGGCCAAACGGAACGATTGAACCAGGTGATTGAACATTATCTTCGCACATATTGCAGCTACCAGCAGGATAACTGGATAGAGTGGATTCCCCTGGCGCAATGGGCATATAATAACGCCTTCCACGCATCGATAAAAATGACACCATCTGAAGCGATGATCGGCCGACCAACTGAACTTCGTATAGACGTGGAACCCCCAAGCACGGGCGCGTCAAAGTCGGCGATAGAACAAGTGGAACGGATGAAGCAAGCAGAAAACAGGATCCGAGAATGCCTAGAAGCTGCCAAAGCAGCTGAGAAAAAGTATTATGATCAGCGCCATATACCAAAAAGCTTTAAGATAGGGGACTGGGTAATGCTGCGTGCAAAAAATATATCCACCTTGCGACCTTCACCCAAACTAGATCATCGATTTTTGGGTCCCTTCCAAATAATTGATATACGGGGTACGCAGGCGTACAAACTGAAGCTTACGCCACAATATAAAGGAATTCATCCCGTGTTCCACGTTTCCCTTCTCGAACCGTATCACGCGCGCGACGGACAGATCCCACAGGCAGAACCGATAATTATAGACGCGCAGGAGGAATGGGAAGTTGAAGCTATATTGGATAAACGTCAGTACCGTGGTCAAACCCAATATCTTGTTAAATGGAAGGATTGCACAGACGCGGATAATTCTTGGGAACCTGAAGAAAATTTGGTGAACAGCCAGGAGTACTTGGAACAGTTTAATAAAACCTATCAGGAGCCAGTCAGTAAACGAAAACGAAGAAGGCGACGATGACTGCTGGATATACTTATTCCGCCCAGGGACTAAAAAACAGATCCGCCTCAGCTTGGCCAGTGTCATTTGAGGAATTGTCACCAAGGCAGACCTGCTTATTACCCCGGATTTCCTCAACTGGCGAAGCACGACGTTTCAACGATGACTTGGGAGCTGCGACCGGCGATGTAGCCACCGGGATCTCACCAATCACTGTTTCAGCCGGGGCCTCAGGGGAACCATTTCGTTGAGCCCCACGGATCTTCGCTGCGAAGAACTTAACTGCAGCTGTCACAGCGCCCTGTAAAACGTTAACGTTCGAAGCGTCTGCACCAGCGACAATTAAATCCTCAGCTGCATTGATAGCTGCCTGGGCCAACTCAACGGCGTCTGCTGGCACCAAACACGAGTTATTTTATATCCCGCAAAACATATATAGAACGATTACTTACCGGAACGCAAACGTGCTTCATCACCGAGCAGTGCTTGCATTTCTTGCGTCGACCCTCAGCAGGCTCACAGTGATGGCGGGGAGACGTTGTTAAATGTCGAATACAACGACAGCAATATGCTGCTGCGTTCCTTTCTAACACTTCAACGGGACCGTCCGCTTCCTCATCTTCGCCAGCGTTATCGGATAACTCAAGTAACGCACCAAGATCCTTGCCCAGTATTCGATATATGGCAGGCGTGACAGCGTGTCCGCCCATCGTTCACAAAGCAAGGGTATACTAGAGGGTTTTGCAACCTTTCCAGACAACCCAAGCAAATGCTCTCGATGGCATTCAGCATATCACCCTCCATAGGTTCTGAACCGGCAACGGAAGCAGCTGGCTCTGACATTCTATTACGACATTAATCAGTATCAAGGACCTTTTAAGAAGAGAGAAGAGGCAAGAAGCAGCAAGAAAAGAACAGATGTTGGTGGTTAAAACCAATATTGCAATATCGATCAAAGAAGTTGCAACAACACAAAATCCGACCCAAAATAGAAAACGCAACCACGCAACCAAAACTTCGAATGTCGCAATAAAAATCGCATGGGAAGATACAGCGTACTTTGCTTGATAAATTGGTGTATTCTTTTAAATAAAAAAAATCGTTGTTAGTGATGATGGTGATGATCTCGTTAGGATACGATTTGTGGTGTAAAGGTTAAAGGAAAGGGGTTCAGGGGTTGTGCCTAAATCATGATTGGACCGCGATAACACCGAAACTGGAACAACGTTTTCCCGAGTCAGCAACACTTCGGAATTAACCCGAACAATTAATTCGGTCCTATCCTGCGAACTTTATACAATATCAACCACGCAGCACATATTACGAACTTCGCACAATAAGAAGCCCTGGGGACCAGGCCTTTGAAGAAGGGAGATAATTGTAATAGGCGCAACGGAGATATCTATATTAGGAAATAGATACGTGGCGATAGATACGTGGCGATAGATACGTGGCGATGGCAATATTATCTATATAATGCTCGCTGATATCCGTGGATTTTAGGAGATCAGCGATTAGCTTTGAACAATAGAGATTGCTACCTTCTTAATATCCTTTGTGCGTACTTCACACTACTCTTGTAATTACTCTTGTAGCCCATCTCTTACAAGCCAGCTATTTCTTTATTGTTATTCAACTTCATATATTGCTCAGTTGCTCTGCTGTTTGATGCTCTGCTGCTCAGTGCTTTACTACTCAGTACTTTGTTGCTCAGTGCTCTGTTGCTCAGTGCTACGCCTTGCTATGCTCCATGCCCACTCTGCTCACTTGCCTTACATTACATCATATCATGTCAACACTTGCTTATTAGAGCAATAGCTAAACATCATCCATGAGCATAAATAACTCATGTCATGACATAGATAGAGAATCAAGCTTATTACACCTTACAGAGTGCACCACTCAGTGCTCTATTGCTCAGTGCTCTGTTGCTCAGAATGCTGCTCAGAGTGCTGCTGCTCAGTGCTCTGCAAGAATACTGGCAGCTGTTCAATCAATTCCATCATAAAAGATTCAATTTTGATTAATTCTGAAGTTCAAAACATTGTATTTATGCAGAGATTATCATGAAACATGGAAAAGATTTAAAATAACTTTGTTCTTTTAATTTAAAGATCTTATATCTCTGTTTAATTGATTTCTGAGGCATCTTGACTGTGTATTTTGATCAATCAAAGAATCAAATCATCATCTCATCAATGAAAGGATTGAAATCAGAGATGTAGTATCTTTAACAGATTGTATGAAAATTTGAGTACAAAAGCTTTAACTTCTAAATGAAGAAAGATTTCAATCTGTAAGAGTTGAATATGTGAATATATCTCTTAATCTGCTCAAATTTATACTGTTTTATATGAAATCTTGATGGATGTAGTGGTCTCTGAGCATTATTTTTATTTCAATAATCTTCAACTGTTGGAGATTTATGTATTTTCATATAGATAATCTGCTCAAGAAATACCTTTATTTCTGCAAAAGTAATTGACTGTCAATTCTGTGAATTGAAAGCTGAATTTCTTGAGATCTGTATCTCTGCATAAACATTGATAGAGCTTGTAATATTCTGAATATCTGTCTTTGAGATATAGAGAGAGAATAAAGTGTATAGACTCTGTGAATCAATATTATTAGATAGATTGACAGCTGGCAGGCAATGAAGACCTTTCATGGAATTAAATTTGATATTTTTCAGAGATGAAATATCTGCTATAATTTCACTTGATGATCATTTTCATTTTTCACTTTTTTTTATACTATCTAATAAATAATTAGCAGATATTATTTCAAGAAGTATTAGAGAACTGGAAATACCTTTGAATGCCATGGTTCTGCAAAGTGTGAGGTGAGAAGAAAGGTGGATTCTTGAAGCTGAATGATAAAGCAGTAATATATTGAGAAGAAAATATGAGATAATGGATCCGTACCAGCAAATAGAATTGCATATATTTTAGTATGAGAAATTATTGGTTGGTACTTCTGAACTAACAGTCTAGTTAATACACTAATGGTATTGCGCTAATTGTGCCTCGCCCCCAGACGAGGAGATAGGCAAGGAGAGCCCTCCATCCCTCTCAGGCCACACTGGGTCAAAGTCCTGTCAGACTTATATTCACGAGACAAAACTTAGGTACTGGGGCTGACGCCCTATGTGGATGACTGCTCGTCATCGTGCTCATCCATGGTGGGTAAGATATGACAGAACAATTTAATTTCACTACTATTAAACAGGGTAGCAAATACATCTTCCAAAGGATACCTATGATCTGAAGAGCATGTAAGATGACATTGAGCGCTGTCGAAAGCCAATTGAGTGAATTCTATTTTCAATCAGATGCTTAAGCGCCCTCAACGAATTCCAGTCCGCAGGACCAGAGATCATCTGTCATTCAACGCCTTTTGTCAACCAGTGCCTCGCACATATATGCCTCAGCTGCCTACTTGCTAATACAACCATTTAGACGTCCCACATTATCGAAGGCAACCAGTGCACATTTGTCATCGGGAGCGGAAGAGGTGCTTTGGAAGAACGTTGAATACATGCCAGTCAAGTGCAAGGCTGTTTTTGACTTGCCGGAATCAACTTTTCATCACAGCTTTCACGAATCGAAGCCCGAAATACTGCGGGTTATAGGGGGTTCCGCCTGCCCAAATTTCCCGATCCTGCTTAGTTCCCTGCGAGCCGAGCCTCCAAGCTAGTGGGCGCATGGGGAACCGAGAGCTTTACTGATCTTCACTCTGCCACCCCCCAAATCTTAATCAAAATAATCCAGAGCAAACGCATTAGTTCCAGCCAAGGATGTTCCAAAATAACCGCCATTTGGGGGAGGTTCGAAGCTCTGATAAATCGACTATTTTGTGTAAACAAGAGAGGAACCTCACACGTGTGCCAATCAACAAGCGGCTTCGGATCCATAGCCGCCTTGCTAAAATGCAGCTCCCGATGCAAGACCAGGATCTTTCGCATGCCAGGGCTGGGTTCAGGCCCAATAAACGTTCCCCAATATTGAGAACTGTCAGGCTACCATGTAGTCAATTACCAGTGTCGGCCCAGTGGGTTGCAAACTGTCAGGCTACCATGTAGTCAATTACCAGTGTCGGCCCAGTGGGTTGCACGCAGGGCTGTGTTTCCTGTTCTAAGAGATCATCTATAAGGAAGATGGCCCCGCAATATGTTTTTCAGCAGGAGCCGAGATCCCGATCTTATCAAATTGCCTAGATCTGGATATTGACCCTCCAGCGACCTTGATAGCGTTTGGCTCTGGTTTCTTATCACGTTCGACAACGCTCGCTCGGGGAGCGGAAAGTCATGCCTCTCCGAGCTCGGTTTAAGCGCCTCTGGGGGAAACACCGGCCCAGGACCAGCAAAAATGCTACAACAACTGTGAATGTCCGTTTATTCTCTCTCCTATGTGAGAACAATACTAACGTGCTATCTGCCCAGGCAAATCCGACCTCAGAATCGCTTTTCCCAAAGTTGGGCCCAGACGACTCGGCAATCTTCGTTGCCGCGTCCACCAGGGTGCTCACAAGCTCAGAGAGTTTGAAAGAAACTAGATCCCTGGATCCCGGGCCTACACTAGAAACAGTCCACACGCAGAATGATACCCCTAGGTCCAGCCAGGACCTGAAATTGAGCAGCCTCTGGGATGAAGCATATGACGAGCTTCGAAAAGAAAATGCAAAGCTTGTAGATGCCTATGAGCAAGACTTGTTTTCCATTCAGAACTTGGGACAGCAAGGTATGTGTGACAACACTGCCATTTTACAACGTGGACGAAAAGAATAGATAACAGCAAGCCATCTGGGATGACTTGACTTTCCATCCTCATCATTCTTTGAAGAATCAGATATTAACCGAAATGTGATGGGAATTTAGCCCCTAAAGGCGAGGATAGGGAGATCCAGCTTCAGAAGCTACTAAATTCGAAGCTTCAGAACATTGAGAACTCGCAAATGAAAATTTCCATACATGGAAAAGACGTTGTTATCAGAGATCAGGCTAGGAAGGTCGTACATTCCATCCTTTCAGTGAAAGATTACATCGGATCTATAGCCTTTGCAGAGCCACATGCGGCCCTAGCTTGGGCAGGAATTTTAATTATTCTCCCAGTAAGTCCCCGTATACCAAGAGACTCTCTGCCAGTACTGATTGTCACCTTCGACAGGTTATTACAAATCCAATCACACAAGCTGAATACGGCACTGAAGGTCTTGAATATATATCAGAACTTCTGGTTCGGTGTAAGGTAACGGAGGACACCTATCGTGAGAACCTTGCATGTGTGCTTGCAACTTCAAGCCCAAGGTAACGACAAACCATCAAAACCCCTGCTCTTATTGATCATTTGCGTTGTCCTTCCTCCCGTTGCAGTAAATTTCCTGATATGTGCTAATTCATTCACATAGCATACCAGCATACCTGGTGGAATTAAATGTCTCCTTCAGAGCTAAGACTATCAGCATTTACTCACAGATACTAAAGTATCAAATAAGCCTCTCCCAGCAATGTTCTCGTTCGGGACTATTTTGCTTCTTGAGAGACTATGTAATTGCTGATGATTGGCAGGGCATGCTGGAAAGCATAAAAGGCACTGAGGAAGACATCAGCAGAGTTTTGGATTCATTTGATAGCAGAACTTTAAGAAAGATAGACGAGCAAGTTTCTGTTCTTCGAAGCAACGCGGATAAATCCTTGGGTCTCTTGTTAGAGACTAAAGCCGGCGTTGAGGTAACTTCATCCCATCGCCTTGTTATGTGGCTTCTCGTCATGGCCATATGCTGAACATGACATGTCTTCTTTTTGTCCCAGAAAATCAACCAGGTGCAATTGCTTGGAAAGCTCTATCGTGCGGAGTATGCTGCTTTTAACACATTCACAAAAGCGGATCGCCGGCCCCCAAGATCCCTGGAAGGTACCCGCATTGATATCCTCCGCGAAATTCAGCACTGGGGAGACGGGCATCGTGAGGAATGCATGTTTTGGATTAAAGGACTAGCCGGGACTGGCAAATCTACCCTCGCTCGCACTATCGCCCATCACTTCAACGAGAAGGGGAGACTTGGGGCAAGCTTTTTCTTCTCGAGGGGCAAGAAAGATCTGGGGGATGCCACTGCTATTTTGACAACTATTGCTGTCCAGCTAGCTGAGGCGTTACCTGATTCGAAAAATGACATCTGCGATGTTATAGAGAAGCATGGCGATATTGGCCAGCAGCCATTATATAACCAGTGGCGGCAACTTATATTCCAGCCTCTTCTTAGGTTAGATAGAAAGCTGTTGTTGCCCATTGTTCTGGTTTTCGTTCTCGACGCGCTTGATGAGTGCGAGGGTGATGAGCACCTTGGTGAAATCCTGCGCCTCCTAACCGAACTGAAATCGCTCAAGATCATGCAGGTTAAAGTGCTCCTAACTAGCAGGCCAGAACGATCAATTTATGCTAGTTTCCGCGAACTTCCCGACATCGTCCATCATGACCTAACTCTTCATTCAGTTCCCAAAGTCGTCATTGATGGTGATATCTCGATTTTTCTGAGATACGAGCTGGGAAAAATTCAAAATAAACGACGTATCGACACTAGCTGGCCTGGAGATGAAAGCATCCAAACCCTCGTTCAGCGGGCAGACCGCCTTTTCATTTATGCAGCGACGGTGTGCCGGTTTATCGGCGAGTCTCGTTTTCCAGAAAAGCGCATGAGCGAAATCCTCCAGACCGAGTCTATGAGTCGGTCGTCTACCAGCGAGCTTGACAAAATGTACTCAGAGATTTTAAAACACGTTCTCGATGAAGGCAGCGATGAAGACAAAGAAGATATGGCAGGTCTGTACAAGCAGATTGTTGGATCTATCATCGTCCTCTTCGAGGCCCTTCCAAAATCTGCTCTAACTTCGACGCTTGAACTTCCATCAACGGATATTACGGAAATACTCGAAGCCCTTCACTCTGTATTAGATATCCCCGATGACGAAAACATGCCGATCCAACTGTTCCATCTTTCTTTTCGTGACTTTCTCTTCAGTGAAGAAAGATGCGCCAACCCCACATTCACAATCAAAGAGGAGGCTGCACATGGCGGCTTGGTAACTAAGTGTCTCAAACTCTTGTCAAAACACTTGAAACAAGATATATGTGACCTTCGACACCCCGGCACTTCTATTGCTAACATGAGAAAAAGCACAGTGGAAACACACCTTCCTCAAGATCTCCAGTATGCCTGTAAGTACTGGATTCGCCATCTCCAAAAAAGCCAGATCAAGCTCCTCGACGGCGGAGAAGTTCACACCTTTCTCCAGAAACACCTTCTTCATTGGATTGAAACCCTTAGCCTTATGGAAATTATATCGGAAGGAATAGCATGATTAGGGCGCTAGAAACGCTGCTGCTAGTAAGTAACTTCAAGCAAAATCTTCAGAAGTGGATCGGTAGCTGACGGGCAAAGCCGAAATCTGATGCCCACTCGTCATTGTTATCCTTGGTTTATGATATGAAGCGATTCATTCTGAACTTCAGATCCGTTATCGAAGCTGCTCCGTTGCAAATATATTCTTCGGCTCTTGTGTTTAGCCCCAAAAAGAGCATAATCCGCGAGCAATTTTGGGAAGAGGTGCCCCCCCTGGATAGTGGACGTTGTCTCAGCCGAGGAGGATTGGAATCCTTCCTTGTTGACACTCGAGCATTCATGTTCAGTCGAAGATATATTCTTTTCGCCCGATGGCGATTTTCTTATTTCATCGGGCGGTAACTTAATTAACGCGTGGGATACAACGACTGGGGCCTTTCGATATGCCATTCCAGATATTTCGCAAAGTAAATTCGCACTTAAACGGCAAGAGGTACTGTCACCCGATGGCCAATTCCTCGCTTGCACGTCTAACTTCGACGATAAGATCAGACTATGGGATTTAAAGAGAGTTGCTATTCACTCCACTCTTGAAGGCCATGTAGACTCTGTTAGTTCGATTGCGTTTTCACCCGATGGCGAGTATATCGTGTCAGCATCCTTGGATAAAAGTATACGGCTATGGGAGGTAAAAAAGGGCCGATCTAAAATCCTTTTCGGTGGGAAATCCGATTTACTACTTGAAAAAACCCAATCTCTCTCCTTTGAAACCCCTACCAATGGAACAATGTTCTCTCCAAACGGTGAATTCATTGCTGGCTACATACATGGCCTCGGCCACGATCAAGTCCAGCTTTGGGATGCGAAAACAAACTGTTTAGTTGGGGCTCTTCCTCATCCACGCTTTATTTTGACTCTGGCATTCTCATATGATGGAAAATTTATTGCATCCGCCTGTTCGGACGGTACAGTGAGGATATGGGATCCGCGAACGGCGACGCTCTGCGGAATTCTTACACAAGTCAAATCAGGCTACGCAGATTGTATTTCGCCGTTTGCCTTTTCACCAGATGGACAATCAATTGCGTGTATATCGCACGGAGCAGTCGAAATATGGGACCTGAAGTCGTTGTCTTTGTGTGGCACCATCGAGAACGATACAGAAGCGATAACATGTATAACTTTTTCTCCGGACAGCAGGCTGCTTGCGGCAGCCTCCGGACGATTTTTGAAGTTTTGGGATCGTCAAACTAAAAGTTTACGCGGAATGCTTGCTGGGCACACATCGAAAATAACCACCTTGAAGTTTTCACCCAACGGTCAGTTTGTTGCTTCCGGCTCCCTCGACAATAGTGTGAGACTCTGGGACACGATGGGTCTTGGCATCCCTAGTAGAATTATCCAGACTCACATTTCTAAGATAAAATTTACGGGGAGTGGACACTATGTCGTTTCATATTTGAGTGACGAAACAACTGAATTGCGGGATCCATCAACAGGTGTCCCGATGTTCACAATTCCCGATTTCTTGCAATTTTCTGATAAAGTGGATTTCTCGCCTGTAAATAACCTTCTCGCTTACACAGATGACGATACGGTAAATCTCTGGAATATGGCGACCAGAAAGTTCTATGGCAGCCTAACAATTACGGATAGGGTGGTTAAAGATGGGAACGACCTGGCGGTATCATATCAAAACCATGCCATCGTTATTTGTGACTTAACGATAAAAAAGCGGCGGTACGTTCTAAAGGGGCATGCAGACGACGTTTACAAGCTTGAATATTCCTCCGACGGCCACTTGCTAGTCTCTGCTTCAAGGGATGATTCATTACGGCTTTGGGATCCAGCAACCGGCGAGTTGATCGGCCTCCTTGGACGGCGAAAAGGTAGGATTTGGGACATGGCAGTTTCCTCTGATGCAAAAGCCATCATCTGCATTTCAGGCCATTTCGTTACATTTTGGGACACAACCACGAAACTAATAAAAATGGAATTGGACCTTAAGGATAAACAGGTGGGAGACGGTGTCGGATCACCAATTCCACTACCTTCGTTATTTGAATATCTTGATATGCTTCCTTTGTCTGCATTCGATTGGAAGGAGGACAATTTGGTCATCCGGGCTGATCCCCTTTGCGTGAAAAAGCCGTGGGTGGCCTATCAGCTACAGGCCGTTCTCTGGCTTCCTGGGGGGTATCGTCCCATACGCGGCAACTCTACGAGCATACACGGCAATACAATTGCCCTGACGGGTCAATCCAACTCACTGATGCTTATCAAACTCGATTTAAAGTCAATCCCATCAAGTGAGCAAGTCTCTCCCCTAGCCTCCTTTTTTTTTCCTGCCGGCCCCTTTGCGAGGTCAATTTAGGTCAAGAGAAAGCAGGATGACCACTAACACAGCGGCAGTATCGACCTCGCTAGAATATTGACCTCGCTAGAAGAGCCATATCCTGTGCATTTACGTGGCCAATGATTTCTTAATGCAATGTTCCGTCCGCGTGCGTTTTTAACGAGTTTGCAAAGCAAAGCGCGCACAGGCATTGTATCGATCATAAGGTCATCCGAGTACGGATTTTAACGAGTGCGAACAACCGAAGTGGAAGAATTAATGCCCAAGAGAATCAATTCGGGGTGACGTTTGAGCTCATAGAGTAAAAATAATATATCTGATTGAGTTTTGTCATGAGGCTACTGTTAAATCCTGTTTCTGGCCGAATATCATGTCAATATATCGCGTAGATTTTCTAGTTTGGATCATGTGGCATGCAAATAACGCCTGCTAGATTACTGTCAAACTGGCACGCAACCGGCTTTAATCTCAATCGAGTCCGAAGCGACTGTGCTGTGCTTGAGAATGTCAATCTTGCTCAAGCCGTGTGGGAGGGTCAGATGCTCTTCGTTGTGTAGCTGCCGAGTTTGAATCGGCTGGTTGATCTGAACATTCAGGCGCAGTTGATGAAAAGGCGAATGTAGGGAAATATTTTCCTTGTGGCGTAGGTCAGAGTTATACGCTGAAGAAATTAGGTGTATGTGAAAAAAAAAAACATCGGAAGCAAGCATCGGATGGTTGGGTCAAATGAAGATGAAAAAAAAAAAAAAAAAAAAAAAAAAAAAAAAAAAAAAAAGGATTCCGTGAACTGCATTTACATGACTTGATGAGGGTGATGGAGCGGCGCAAACCGAATATTGAATGTGGGAACTTTCGTGGCAAGTAAGCGATAACTACTCTCAAGCTAGAAAATAATGCAGGTTGGCGAGAGACGATAGCAGCTATGGATAAATACAGGTATCAAAAACACACACATGCCCGGGAAATGGAAAGAAGACGTGCAAAAGTAAGAAAAGAAGAACTGGAAAACCTTTTCGAAAGAAGATCATAAAGACAACATTCCAAAAACCCTGTTTGTTTCGTCGTAAAAAGTAAATCATACAGTACAATTTATACCCCCAAGTAATCGTCATGACTCAACCTAAAGCGATAAGAGAAGCGTAATGTTCTACTTCCATTTTACACTGCTACCGAGTATCCGGGTGTAGCCGCTATCACGGGCTATGTTACAGCGCGAAGGAGTAGGATGTTGCGAGAGGCATTTATCCTCGCGATCGCCACCAGACCATTTATTGTACCAGATGTTGAATATCGTGCCTGTTTGGGGCGGAGGCTCGGATTTTACTGATGCGTAGTTCATTGGGTGCTATGCTGTCCAATGTAATTCCACATTTCCTTATACAATCATCTGTGCAACGCCCTGACCACCAAGAGTCTTGCTGCCCATGAATTCTTGCTTTGTGATGCCAGCTAGTGCGTAGAATATTGCTGAAACCGAGAGAACGACAGCAGCAGCAAGGAGGCTGGAAGGTCCGACAATTAAGCTCAGCCACTGGACGACGCTGAGGATGACGTACATCAAAGCTCGCATGTAGTTCGTCGTGAACCGTCTGATAAAGGAATCGAATGTTGAGGACGTGGGACAAATTCGTAAGAGAAGAGGAACTTCAACGAATATTATGACAAAGGATGAGGCTCTATAAGTGCTGTCAGGTAGTGTATGGAAGCATGGGAAAAGGCAGCATCGCAACAAAACTTACAAGCAAACTATGCTGAATGCTATGACCTTACTGAAAATATTCGCAATCCCCAGTGCGAAACAGAGAAGTATGCACAGGACACCAGTCCTATTTGCAGAAAAATTAGTTTCTAATTCAGCAGTTCCAAGGGTTCTCAAAGTTCGAGGTCCCCCGCGCCGGTTGATCAATCAATATGGGTGTATCCGTTCACAATTAAAAACAACCAACGCGTTTCGCGATGGAAGTTCTAATGCGCAAACAGGTATACTTATGAAGGTAGAGGAGAGCTTCTTGTGGGGATCGGGCACTAACCATTGTCCATAGATGCCTGCTCAAGGTTAGCTCGCGCCATCGCATTGTTGTTACACGGAGAAAAGTCTGAATAGACTTACTAAAATTCCTCGACTTGAACTCCTCTGCAATCGTCATTTTGTCCAATGTATAGCGCTTGTCCGGGAGGCGCGGGATTTATTTGTCGCTGTGACCTTTGCTCAACTCAGCCTTGTCGGCAAGGCTCTAGAATCCAGCAAATACTTGATATATGCCCTGGAAAATATCTCCCTGAACTGGCTGAAGCTAGTTGGAATAGAGAGGACGCCGTTCACACAAAGATCGATCAGCTGCAAGTTTATGACATGCATTAGTCGTATGGAAATAAGCAAAAGTGATCCGATGAGAAAGAAGTAGATCCGTGAACAAGTTATAGAACAGCTAATATAAGATCTCAGATCTTCCGTTCAATACACACCAGAGGAATCAATATATAAAAGTCGAAGTAGAAGGCTCAAGCGCAAAGTCCGGATGTCAAAGTGCTTCAAATGGTTTGTTGTTCTCTTGGGCAGGCGAGGACAAACTGCGGGAACAAAGGAGAATGAATATCTTCCAAGTCGTTTCGGTCTTAGGTTTAAGGGAAAGGACAAATTACTATTGGAAAAGTATAGAAGTGTTTGGCTGGGAGGAGAGTTCCATCACGATGATGGAATAATCAGGTGGAAAGGTAGTTAAGGTCAACCTGTTGCTATTTCTGCTTTGGGATGCCAAGACCTTTCTGCCGTTGCTATAGCGCATCTTGGCATTAGGCTGCTAAATAAATAATAAATTTTGTTATCAGCCCTACCCAGATACGCCACGCTGGAACATGTTCATCATGGACTTGACTGGGAATACTGACTCCTACCCAGGTGTTTAAGAATGCGGCTATGGCTGCAATTTCTTAGTTAGCTATTTCAATGAATCCAAATAAACGCGTGGCGATGTACAGCCCCAAAAAATAATGTGGTGCTCTCGAAAAGGGGTTGAAGTCTATATGGACCTGGCTCCTCATATATCATCACAATCCATGAAAAGATAAGTAGTAAAATTAACTGGCTTTTATCGTATTCCTTCTTACTACTTGCACCATTCCCCGTGGTCTAAATAAAAATTAAAAAGGGATATTATCCACAAGCGAAGACGATAACCGTGCGCTTTGCTATGGGAGACATCTTGGTGGCTGTCTGACCAAGCCATATTTACGAAATACACCCTGAATAAGCATGCCGGCTGTACCATTGTGATCGGTGGTATAGAAATTTTTACACCTCCAACTCGTCTTTTAGGACCTCCACATTCCACTATTTGGGTATCGTTCGGTTAATTCAGCGTTCATTGAGGATAGACGAGTCTGAAGACATCATTGAAAACGTAAAAACTTCCTCTTCCGTCAGGACGGAGATGGAACAGTTGCGAGTAGTTCATGGGTTTTGGCTCTGCATCAACCTATAATTTCGCACATTACTTCCTCATCAGCAAGGAGCCAGCAGCGGAGTAAAATGGGGGAAATTCCAAACCCACCATCAAAGCACCTGTCACAAGGACCACAACTCCACCCTCTGCTGTTGGCTGAGCATCGATTGTCGACTGAACGTGTTCAACTTTTTGAAACGGCAGACCCTATTTCTCCAGTATTAGCAGGCTTTGAAAAAACGAAGCGCCGTTCTAGTCATTTCTGTGGGCTAACCAGAAGCTGATCCATGATAGCGCTCGTGCCTTTGACACAGGATGTCTCGAAAGTCAACATCGACTCATCATGCTAGTATCTTCATTGTTAGCTATCACCGCTACATAGGTCTTGCTCTGAGGTTCGCCGCATACATAGAGCCCGCGGAGCGCTTCTCGTCCTTTCGGCTCAGTGGGTCCTTTGCCATCGAAAGTATCATAATAAAACTTGACGAACTGCTCTACTTGGATGAATTGGAGGTTAGATATCTCAAGTTGATCCAATAAACGACAGGAGGAAATATGAAGACGGACGGGTAAAGCATACCAGCAACAGCTTGAAAGTCTAAGTAAAGAAATTTGTGTTAGTGATAATGTTACCGACAATCCCAATTGGGAGAAAAGCATTGGAATGCTGATAACGGGGAAGCAGAGCACAAGGAGTGGGAAAAACGAAACGTAGGTAACCAGCAGAACCAAAAAGCAAATTATGGAAATACTCACCCGCCATCTTGTCTAGGATTGATCGCAAAACTCCTCTGTATCACGCCTATGTGATTGAATCGCTGCTGATGATGGATAAGTTGAGATTGCAGCTGCGGTGGGGTTTTCTGTGGCGGGGGCAATTCAAGCGAAAACAAACATGACTAAAAAGGGGTTAGTTTGGCACTACCTTGGTACGCGGGCACAGCGTAGATATGGCCAAGTTCGGATGCTCAGTCCCTTCGGATTCTCCGGGAGGATAAATAGTATATTAAATAAAATATCTCGTCTCAAATTCCAGGTGTATTATATCACAAATCAGAGATACCCGGTGTGTGGCAGCCTGAAAGTAAGATTCATCGAGTACTAATCATTACATCAAGGCTGAACTGCAACATGATTTGTCAAGGCAACAATCAAGAAACTGACGAAAAAGTAGCCAAGATGGGCAAACAATAATGGGCATCAGTCGGAATCAGAATCAGCAAACATGTCCTCTGCTTTGGGCCGGCGACGCCTTGGGGCCGGCTGGGCGTCATGTTCAGCCTCCTTAGTATGACGTGCATCGCTCGCAGTCTGATCGCCTGATCCGTGGGAAGATACACCTCGGGCACCTTGGCGTTCGCTCTCGTCCATGCCATTCCCTTCGGCCTGCTTAGTTTCCACGTCCTCCATATCGCTGTCCTCCATCGGAACGCCATCGATGTCATCATCCATAGGCTCACCATCAATGTCCTCATCATCTAGCATGGGAACACCATCATCGCCATCATCAATATCCATTTTCTCACTCTCCAGAACATCCTCCGTGTTGTGCGTATCCACAGCAACTTCATTGGCATCATCTTCGACCGTTCTCCATCTACTCTTTCCTTTGCTGCCAAACACACCTGACGTTTTCTCCGCTTCAACACGCTTCTGCTCCTCTAATTTTTCTTTCTCTGTAAGGGGCGGCTTTTCAAATACCTGAACAAAGTGCTCTTGGCTTGATTGGGGGAAAACACACCAGCCTTCCCATAGACTTAAAAGACTGGTAATACTTCTCCTCCATTTTTCAATCTTCAGTCTACCCCATCCGAGCTCCTTTTCCAGGCGGCCAAGATGTTCGAAAATTTTATGTGTTTTTAGGGACGATTCGAATAGTTGTCGGTATCTCCAGGCATGCCGGACTCCACTTGTAGACGATGATGATAGGATATCGGAGATCAGGTATAAACCTACCAGCTTAGAAGCGGAAGTATCCAGGGTCTCTTTGGACGATTTCTTCGTTAAAGACTGGGCTGTTTGGCTGTCATGCTCAGCAGGGTTAGCCTCGTCACCATCGTCAGGTTTGCCACCTCGAAGTTCTGTCTCCCGTCGTTGGCGTTCTGGGTTAGCATTAGTAAAAGCCAGCGGATTGGTAATATTAGCAACGATCATCTCCACCACTTCATCTGCACCGCATCCAGCATGCCTGATTGCAAAGGAAGTGATCCGAGCGACATCACCTCTTCGCAACTTCGAATTGGTAGTAGGGAGTTTTGCAAGCAAATGTGCTAGTTTTGCTTTTTGAAGAGGGTTCAAGTGGCCTATCCCATCGCTATTGCGTTCTTGGGCTCCAGAGTCGAGACGCTTTTCATCTTCTCTGTCAGAGTCATCCTCCTCTGAAGAATCGTAGTCTTCATCAGATATGAACTCCTCTATTTTCGTAACATATTCAAATTGTAAATGGTTTTCGGGGGGCAGCCAAACAGGACCGCTTTCGAAAACAGAAGTGGGGGTAGGTGGGTGTCTTCCCCTAGTTTTTCGTGCGCCCGTCAAGATATCCCATAACTTCCACCTGTACCATACACCCCCCGGGCTCCTCGAATCCCATATCCAAGCCCACTTTTCGTTTTTCTGGACCTCGGGTCGACTCATGAGAAGCGCCTCAAACTCGGGGCCGTATGTTAAGAGATTCTCCAAGGTCTTATGAATAAGTTTGAGTTGCTTCAGATCTGATGGAGGCTTGACCTCGACTTGAAGGGTAGATCCACCCCTACCACCGTAGCCTGGTCCGTAAGATGATGGAGGCGCAAAACCTCCCCGATGACCACCAGGCGGACCACGACCATAATTACCTCCTGAGCCTTGTGTTATTGGTCGTGCTCCGAATGGCTTGGAAGTAGAGGTAGTTGATATAGTCGTAATTGGCATGGTGGAATTAATGGCAGCCGAAGAGAGATGTCGTGAGATCGAGAGATAGTAGCCCCATCCAAGATACTTGTTCTGTAAAGAGCTGACAACAGTATCCATCTCAGTTGCAGCTGTTTCTTTTGCGAGGGTGACAATCGCAGACCATACACGTCGTTCTCCGGTTCCAGTTCCTTGCGGAGTTGCGGGTAAAATTTTAACATTGTCCACGACGAGCGCATGGGAAACAAGGGCCTTGACTACTGCTGGAGATGTTCCTGGTGGCAACGATGACAGATGAAGGGTGGGCTTAGCTGCGGCCCTTTCCGCTTCTTTCTTGTCCGCAAGTTTATCCTCATCATCGGAAACCTGAAATGCGGCTGCGGCGTCCGCGTGAGCCGGGGGGGAGTTCTCGAAGCTGAACGGACCATGCCCTACGTCTCTCTCCTTATGAGATGAGTGCATCGCCTCAAACGGTCGTTTTCTCGAACCAAAAGAGTGTGGAGCTCCTTGGTTGTCGGGTGCAGATCTCATCGTGCTCGACGTGAAATGCCTCTTTGAAGGGGCAACAGGCGCCCCCGAATGTACAGCGCCTCCGCGGCCATATGAACCCACCCTGCCGCTGACGCCAGGGCCCGTAGGTGTATCAGCATCATTCTGAAATGATTTCACAAAATCCTCGTAGACTGCCTCAGTCTCTGCTTTCTCCCTTGCGCGTTTGGCTTCGGCTTCGGCTTTCTGGCGCTCGAAGAGGGATTTTTTCGCCGGGGCGGACAGTTTGGACGATAGGTCAAGAAATCCTTTCGCTTTTGAATCTTCCGGCATTTTCGTAATGCGGTTAGACAACCCAATTACGGTGCCAGAACGTTTGCGTTGTCTGCTGCTAGGCTCTCAAAGCTCTTCATGAGATAATTGACAATGAGCTTTGAGGCTCAGCGAAGGCTCGGCTAGAGTTGCCTCCTGTGGGGCTAAATAAGCACCGAATCCATCCCAGCTTTGCCAACATCGCTCAACCATGAGGGATGCATCAAAGAGACCTCAAAATAAATCAAATGTCAAAAGTTTCTGTAAGAGATACATCTTGTCTCACCAGAAGCCAAGGCTGACTATAAGTGTTGAAAATGTCTACTCCGTCACAAATCCAAGCGTTGCTACGCTTCCTTTCGCAAGATTCAAAACTGCCCCTAGCTCTGGCAATTGCAAAGGCGAAAGAGCTTCAAAACGCTAATTTACTCACGTATGCAAGAAAGAAGGCATATGTTTCATATGTATTCTACTCCCAGGGCTGAAACGGTAACTGACACCTTACACTTAGCCCCGAGGACATCCTGAAGAAAGATCTTGCATCTCTTCATTCCATTTTGGGTGAAGAAAAAGTTGCAAAACAAGTCTTAAACGGTGCCAGGAGGGTTGCTAAGAAGCGCGCCTACGAAGCAGACGGTACTGGTCCTCCTGTAAAGAAAACCAAAAAGAACAGTGTAAATTCGGAAACATCATCTCCCTCTCAGCTCGAGTCGGCGCTCGCCCTCCCATTATGGTCCAACACAGACGAAATTTCTTCAGCTGTCTTGGTTACAAATCGGGCGCCTCTTGTCCTGGCGTTTGCGGTAATGTTGTTAAAGTATACTATGCCAGAACAACCATTATCTAGCAGGCTAAGCCTGGCTCAAGCAGTTGTCAGTGCCAACAGTCGATCAAAGGCCGTTAGCCTTGGAATCGAGCAAGGCAAAAGCGCAGAAGATGAGGGATGGGCGCAGGGGCAGCCTACCGTGAAAATCCTTGGAAGAGAGATTCCCGTTTTAAAGCGATGGGGATATAACTGGCATGAGGAATCCCCGTCGGATCGGGCTGCTGGGCTCGATGCGAATGTAGAGAACCTGGCAAAGGAGAGCAGTGAAAATGCCAGCCATAAATCGTCAGACGAACAGCCTGCCCTGTGGGGCTTAGATCCAGAAGTTATGAAGAGGTCAAACACGAACGGCCCGGGGCCACGCCTGACCAGCCCGGTGCTCCCAATCCATAGACCAGAGACAGCCCGCGAATATTTATTAAAATCATTTACGTTACAGAAACAAACCGAGTCCAACATCGGGAAAGGGAAAACGAAGAAGGCCTCTTCAGATTCTGTGTCTGAAAAGGAGAAAAGCCTTGCCCTTTTACTTGGCGCGATTGATCTCCTCTGCCAATCATGGGCATCCGTGCTCAGCAAAAACGAAATAGATCGACGAGCTTGGTCATGGTATGTGGACGTTCGCCCAGATATTCAGCACGGTGTTGGAGGCTGGGGGCAGAAGGGGGAGGTTCAGCTCTCAAAAATCCTTAATCTGAGACGAAAGGGGTGAAATTTATGATCAAGACCAACGCAGTGCATGGCTTATACATGCGAGCATGCGCAATGCTGCACGTCCCCGATTGATCCCCTCTTGTTCTCATCATTCCGTCATTAGAAGCCGATTTTCGAATCAACCTGCATTGTTCTCCCTGACTGCGCTAGACAATCAATGTCGGCTTCTTTCCGTCGCATTACGGAGGCAGTTGATTCCTCCCCCTCCCGATGGTGCTTGTTGAAGATATCGACGATCATGACAAACAGCTGAGGTTATCCACACCCCGTTTCACACGCTCTCGCGCGGTCCTTTCATACGTACCCAGAATAACGACTCTCCGCTCTATAAATCGTCCTCCCCTTGCTTCTCGTCGACTATCAAATTTGAATTTCCTCGCCCGACAGACCATTATCACAACCGTCTCCGGGCATTTTGAACCCCCGTTGAAACCATTAATTCTTTTTGTTGCGGGTGAACACATGAATCCGCAGCGTGCCAGCATTTTCAGCCCTTTAACAACATCAAGTTCAATCCTTCTCCAATAGTAATAGTTCCATGCCTCTATATGTATGGAGGCCGGGATATCTGAACGAGAATGGGTACATTTCGTACTCGCAAGTATACGTCCTGCACATCCTGCACACATCTACACAGCTGAGGCCGCCCATGCCGCTCGCTAGGACACGAGCACGTAATGTTTACTTAATGATTCGTTGCTATTCTCTGAACATTCCCTCCCTATTTTGTGCTGAAACCCTTTGTTTCTGTTGATATCTCTGTGAAGAAATGCAAATCAGGGAATAGTATCTAGTACGGAGAACACATCTCAAAGGTTGTGAAAATAAAGATAAGGGAGAAGACGGGGGCGGGGCGGCGGGGGGTGTTTCATAGTAACATCCAAGGATGGAGACCTCTCGATGTCCTAACTTAAACATGCGTCCTCAAAAGTCCATCGACACAACCTCCCATGAACAGGTAATGTTCAAGTCTCCGCGATTCCAAGCGTGGGTTTATATACATGTGAAACAGGGAAAAAAAGAAAAGAAAAATCACTTAAATATGCAGCCTTACAAGTCCTTCCCAACTCAAGGTGGTACAGACCGAGCATGCCATCCATTGAAGTAAAAAGTGAACCAAGACATGATGAACCCTAGCAACCGGCCCAGCAACCGACCATTGTCAGTAGTAGCACAGAGCAAGAAGCAATAATGCGTTTGTAATTGTTGTACGCAGCGTTGAGTACTAGTCTGCACAGCGAACAACCTCCTCCTTAACTATATACTATATAGTAGACATACACGCGCGCTCCCAACTCTAGGCCCTTGCAAAGCAAGCAAGAAAGCAAGAAAAGATCTTTCACAATTAGCAGCTTGTTGATCACTGACACTGATCAACATGGAGAAAAATGGCAGCTTCTTGTTGTTGCTTTTACTGTTTTTATTCTGCCCATTTGGCCTAGTTAGTACCTGATTCAATGGTCTTGGCGGGGAGTGATATGGCGGTTGTCAATGGACTGCTATAGTTTGGTGAACGAAGGCGGAGGTGTTTACCAAGACATTTTAAGTTTGTTGTTTGTGGCAGACAACTTCTTTGATTCGTTGAGATGTCATCGTTAGTTACAGGTAGCTCGCTACCTGTCCTTGGGACGCGGTAGGACACACATGCAAAATGCTTCCTTTTGTGCTACTGTGCAGTATAGATATAAAATCGTGAAGATTCGGAGCGGCATTAACTAAATACCATTATCCAAGTTTACATTCCAACCCAAAATCGTCAGAGCCGACAGCCTGGAGGTTATATTTAAGGGGTCTTCCGAAATTTTAGCCTACACATCATGGACTCCGCAAGGCTAGAATTGAAGGAACAAGATCGACAATGACTTCTAGAATGTCAGTATAATGGCATATAGTGTACAGGATACACTGGTGTTGAACAGTATCCATACCCCATCCTCATTAACAGGAGAGAGAGAGAGGAGCATCTCCGCAGTACTCCGTAGCTGGAGCGTGAAGGAGCGATCTCCACAGCAGACAGATCTCTGTTCTTTTTTGGTCGAAAATGGCTATGGATTCCCACAGGGCACTTCGGGAGCTGTCACTGTGTAGCGGACGACTACTGGAAAGCTTGTAAGCTGGTGCTTCCGGTGGGTGCTGTTGCTGATATTGTTTCGGGTTTCTGTTTTTAAAACCTTTTTGTAAAAATTCTATTGGGACACGGGGGAAAAAAAGTGACGTAGATCCAATGTGCGTCTAATCGGATATTTTTTCCACGCCTGAAAAAGCATTTGATAACTAACGCTCCGTGCATGGCCCCCTGTGATGGATGCTCTCAAGGCTTCGCCAAGGAACCAAAGTGAAATCGCCTTGAGGAAAACTGGAATTGTTGATGGAAACTAGCCAACGTTGTGGAAGAGAGCGAAGAAATTGTACAGTACTTTGCTGGCGCCAGACGATGGAGTCTCGGAGAAGCTGTCGACTTCCTAGGAAAAAGTGGATTGTGGGGTGTTTCTTGTTCGGCCTCGTGATTCGCTGTTTCGTTGGAATGACACTTTCTTCCCCCTTGGCTCCCCTACCCTTAGCCTGTTTGAAGGAGAAGAGTTCTCCGTAGTCAGGAAATGGGATTGGACGACATAATTGGAAACCCTGGGGGATTCAGCTCGATACCGGCGAGGGAAGAGCGGGGATAGGCCAAGAGGGGCCCACGGAGGTAGGCTTGTCATCCTTGGACTCGGATGCCAAACTGTGGACAATTTAGCGGCAAGCCTAGGAGGATTTTGAGAGCAAGAAAAAACCTGGTGGGTAATCCGGTTGGGCTGTTTGTATCAAAGATATCCATGTAGGCAAACAGGGAGAGAAGCCTTCCCAAGCGGCTTTCTTGTCAATGCCCCCCATCAGCGCAACTTCCCATATGCCGAAACGACTGTCAACTATTATTTGTCATGATAATGATGAGCAAAGATAGAGATGGATCTCTTCTGATAATTTCAACCAGTTAGTTTGTTCCTTGTGCTGGTTAACTATGTAACAGCCCAAGAGCGCAATGAACCAGTTAGCCGACCTGGAGGTGTAATGATACCGTTTTGACAAGGGAGGGCTAGCGCGGCCAGAGCAAAAGCCCTGCTCTGGTGCTCACTGCTTCAGCGTGAGCAAAAAAAAAAAAAAAATAAAAAAAAAAAATAAAAATAAAAAATAAATGAATAAAGAAAAAAGTAAAAAGTATTGGCGGAGAGAGCGGAACAACAAGTGGCTGTGGACCTTGTGGTGATAGATAACACCCGTATCACTGGTGAAATCGCCTGTTTGGCAGGTCAATGAGTAATACACTCACTCAGCATGTTTCTCCGTCCTGAATCGTCCAATAGCCCATGAAATCTTACTTCTCCGCTTCCATCTCTCGTCATAGGTAGGGACACCAGGAATACTGACCCTTTTTGCTCAAGGTTACGGTCTATGGTTGTATGGTGCACAGAGCCTAACTAATAATAATAAAATATCTACTCCGTACTCTGTACGGTGGAAATTCGGCTGAAGACGCCAAACCCAGGGCCAAAACACCACTGGGCCAAGCATAACCATCAGCACAATGCTAGTAATTTGGAAATGTTCAGTACAATACTCCGTACAACAATGAAAGATGGATTATTCTTATTCCACCATGGGCAGAAGTGTTATATTGGCGACAGATAATGTACAGTTATTAAACTACAGTAAATAACAGTCAACAATATAGCAACCCAAAAGAAGAACTGGAGAGAAAGTTGCAAATACCTGGAAGCACTCGTACTTGATGTTGTTTGTTTGTGTGGCCGTTGCTCAGACTCTTGGGGCCCCAGCAAAGTTGTGGTCGGTGGCCATCCCCTTCCCCCGTCTCGTCGACGCTTCTTACAGCCAACCTCCGACGACGCTGACTTGACTCCACCCCATCCACCCCAACACCCACCCTCTCTCGTTCTGTCTCATCCGTCCATCGCTGTTGACTTCGGTTCTCCTCTCCTTCCATCGTTTACGTCCTATACCGTTTCTTATACTGCTGCTCGACAGTCTCTCTCTCCGTTTGTTTGTCCCCTGGGAGTGGGTTTTGGGGTGTTTCTTGTGCTTGACAGGAGGGGACCGCTCCCCCAAGTGGGCAGTGCACTATGTCTGAGCGTGCCCTATCACCGTCACCAGAAGAAATTCACGAGCACTCTCTTTCTACTCAATCTCATCGCCCGCAATCTCCCCTGTCTGCTGGCCATCATTCCCCTGAACAGTCTTTCATTACGGACGTCTTCAGTGATGCCTTTTCTCTCGAGCCATTGGATTCTGTTGATTCTCCTCTAGACCACTCTGGTCAATCCGACCACGCTTCGTCGAACTCGTCTACCACATTGGATGACGAGAATGGTCTGTCCTCATACCTAAGCCCCTTTCGAGACTCGGTTGCTTCATTCCAGTCGCAAATGTCGCAACGATCGGGCTCTCCAAAACCGGAACCGATATCTGAGCGTGAACAAGCCGCTCCAAATCATCCTCCTGTCGTCACCCAAAATGCCGTTTCCTCGTCTATTACTCGTCACTCGTCCTCCGCCTCTTCGACGACCCATCCTCCTCCATCCGTGGCACATCGAAGCATTAGTGTTTCTTCTCGTTTCTCAATGCCTAGAGCCCTAAGCCCGTATACTGGCCAGACCAGACCTACACATCCATACGCTATGTACCCTCAAGCTACCGGTTTGGGTCGGTCATCATCTAACTCATCCACTTCGACTGTTCGACCTGTAGAACGGAGTCAGGTTGAGCCAATGCCGCCCCAGCATCCGTACGCCATGTATCCGCAGAATACTGTCCCAGAGGAGGAAGACGTGGAAGTGCACTCTCCTATCCCAGTTGGTTTTCCTGGCCGCGAACAGGCATTCCGGTCCCGGGGAAACGCTGGCGCCAATGAAGTTGGAGATATTGTTGGGGTAGATGGCCATACTGAACAACTGCCGCCTTATACGAGATATCCAGATGGGACACCCCAAAAATTTGGATCCCACGAATTTGTCACCCCGCCTCCGCCGGTGACGTTAGCTGGTGTCCCGGTATCCCCAGAATCAGGAGTATCATCCCGAACCCTATTGGATGAAAATGGGGCTGGCCGACAAAATGCTCCCGCTGGTGAACCTCAAGCGGATGACCCAAGCAGTAGTATCAAGGAAAAACTGGTCGAAAAAGGCAAAACTAGAGTGTGCTGTGGTCTCCAAATATGGACTATTATCCTCATTGCTATTGTCGTTTTGATTGGAGCAGTAATTGGCGGTGTTGTTGGAGGTGTAGTTGGAAACAAGCGAGGGGAGAAAGCAGGTGGAGCAAGTGCTAGTTCTGCATTAAGTGGTGGAAGGTATGAGACGACTATTTTTGCACCCCTTCCTCCACTCTTTTTTTGTCTCCTCTGTTAATATTTTCTAGTCCTACTTCCGTTTTTGTAACGGTAACGGCCACCACTATGTTGGATGCAGCACAGTTAACGACTACGCCTTCCCTTCTCCCAATCCCAACTGGTGATTTCCAGATCCCTGCAGCTTCGCTACATGGATCATCAAATAGCTGCGTCAATGACGATGATCTTGTGAAGTCATGGCAGTGCATGAACAAAGGTTCATTTTCTTGCTCGCTCTCCGAGGAAGACGACGGATCAAAAAGCATCGAACTCCAACCTTACAAGCGGAATGGGAATTTCGTATATGGTGCCCAAGCTCCAGCACTGGAAGTCACGACTTTCGACCTCAAACTGATGCTCGATAGGACCCAACCAGATTTGGGTCCAGCCTTATTCTTTTTCACGCCCTTTGATAAACTTGTGATAATTCATTCCGATGACTTCCCTCACGTTCTTTCAGGACAACCAGTTGATGGGGTCCAGCTCCGTCGACGTGCGGGAACTACAGCACCCATGGCGTCAAAACCAGGTGATCGGCCTTATTTTTGCTGGTGGAATAGTACTTATTTGGAACTTTTCATCTATGTCAACCAGCAACTCTCCGAACCTACGACAACAACGGGCTCGGGCCAATATACGCCAACTAAGACCTCCACAACACTCACATCCACAACTGCACTCCCCTCTCTAGACCTTCGCGGGCTTCGAACAACTTCTTTAGCGGCACCTGGTGGCCTACCAATAGAGTACCCTCGCATGATCAAATTGGAAGAAATAAGGTCTTCCACTGATGGAACTCCTCCATACTGCGAGCAGATGCAGGTGATGGATGATGGAACTATATCAGGCCCACTTGGGTCTCGAGTTCCTGTTGACGAAGCCGAAACAACACTATCCAGTTCGCGGAGTGATGGTAACGGCACCTTGAGTGCTCCGGACAATGATGATGATTGTTTCTGCCAGTGGATCGTTGGTTAGCGCTTGCTAGAGATTGGAGGAAATTAAAGAGCAAAATAAGGCGTTTGGGTTCCGGGGATAATCCATCCATCCCCCTTTTGCTGGCATTTCACATATATTTGGTTTTTTTCTCAGGCATTGGCGTTGATATATGCTTAAGGTATATTTGGTCAAAGGGGTATATCTCTCTTTTTTTTTATTTCTTCCTCTTAACATCTTCCGATATATCCTTCGCCATTGTTATTAGTGGGGTATTTCTTTTTAACCTTTGCTTATATATTTTCCGAGGATCATGTCGTGACGATTTATCGGAGATATGCTAACAACCCAAAATATCATTATCCCCTTTACTGCCACCTAACACCGCCATTTCTTCTGTTTTTATTTGACCCATCTTTTTCCATCATACTACACAAGCCGCAATCGCTCGCTTGCGCTCGCTTATCCAGCTTGAAAACGCGCCGTTTAATCCCTCAGGCGAATGTAATGAGATATATAATGACTGCACGTGACTCATATAGATGAATTCCATGTAATCTACAGCTGTTAATAGAGAACAATCACATAGATGAAAAAGATGAATAACATTGTAGCAATGTTGTAGAGTTAATGTAGAAGCACTAAGCAAGATGTAATTAAATGTTAAACAGCTCATATAGAGAACATAGTTAGTGATTACAATCAAACAATAAATATTTGAAATGTAATGATTTACATCTATCAACCCTCAAAACATCTAATACAATCAAAATAGTCAAAATGACTAAATGTAAGTAGAGAACTGTCAAAAAATGAAGAAAAACAGCTCAGAAATGATGAAATTACAATTAATAATAATGCAGAGCAAGCTCTGAAGACTCAGCAGTTTGTACTGTCTATCAATTCTCTCTCACTTTCACTTCACTTTTAATAATCTCAGCAGTCTGTCAACACATCTGCATTCATTTCTCAGCAGCCATTTCAGCAGTCTGTCAATGTATAGACATTTGAATATAGAGTTAGATTGCTGATAGAACAAATCATTAAAAACAGCAGTGAAATGATTGCACAGCTATAAGAGATGAGATGTAAGAGAAATATAATAATATATGAAAAAAATTTCAAATCTCAATTAAAAAAAGCAATAAATATAATATCTTTCATACAAACTGATAAAGTTGAATAAAAGAATTAATCTTAGAAATATTAACAGTCAATAATATAAAAGAAGAACATGAAAAAGCAAATGAATAAACAATAAACAACACAATATGAATATGATTAAATATATTAGAATGTATGATAAAGTTCACATCATTTACAATATCTGCATCAAATTGCAGATCATGAATTTACATTTATATAAAATAAATATTTTTATCTGATTTAAACTTTAAAAACTCTTGCAAATGATAGAGTTTCTTTTATATTTGAAATAATATTGAATTATCAATAATCAGATAATTCAGATGTGAATTCTGCTTGTATTTAAAAGATATAAATATCAAGACAGAGTTGTAATTTTAAATATGCTTGCAGAAATGCTTCATATCAGCTGTATCATTATTAAATAATTCACATAACTCTGATGAAAATTTTTTAATAAATAATAATTTTACAACATCTCTTGCACAGCATATGAAAAACACTGAGAGAATTTTAAATAACTTGTATACACATTTATCAATTCAATACTTAACTCTGCAAACAAAGCAGTAGATAATTATTCAATTAAAATTAAATGATTGATAATAATAAATGTAGAAGTGAAAGCTGTAAAGAACAAATCAACAATTATAAATGGTTGAAAAATTAACAATTGATTCAGAAATAATTAAATTGATTTGAATGTTGAAATCATTAAGAGTTGATTGCTTTAGTAAATTTATATATATATGATCAGCAAGTTCATCTGCTGCAGAAACTGCTGCTGCAGCTGTCAAATGCTGTTATTTAATATTATGAATATATCCATGATTGAAAGCTCTGCAGTCATTGCAGTTCTTGAAGATGCAATTAACAGTATGAAATAGATGAGATGAACAGTTTTCATAGCACATATCATAATGTGACAATTCAACTCACTATGAGTTGAACACAGAAGCAGTTACATCTCTCAATGATAGATGAAAAATTTGAATTAAATATGACTAACATACATAATGCTGGGCTTGACAGCATGTAGAGTATGTACAGAATAATGCATTGAATTGAGATCATTCAAACACACTGAGAGAATGAGAATTCCCACACATTGTGCAGCAGTGCATGAAAAAAGTATATCAATGAATGTATAGATTGTAATGAATATAAAGATGAATATAAAGAATGTAAATACAATAAAGAACATCTGTAAAGAAAGAAGAGAATGAAGATTAATATCAGAGCTATACAGACTGCAGAGCTGGCTGTTGAGCCAGCCATTCAATCTCTTCATGGATTTGATGGGGTGCACATGAGGCCACGTGAGGTCATGTTACAGCATTTTTTGCACAGAAAAGTTGGTTTTTCTATAATATAAAGAGAGATATATACACATGGTCTTGAAATCTACCTATATAGGCCACTCGGGGAAATGAATGCCACCACATTGAATGCTTTGGTTGCCCGGAGCATCTGTTTGATAAATATGGGCACATACACATGCACTCGCATATGACATGAGATAACTATAACTATATCTTGCTGCTATATTCATCCCTTTTCTTTTCCTTCCACTGCAGAACATGCATAGAAGTATCATCACTGTCCATATATTTCTTTTCTCTTTCCAGTTGCTTTGTTTGTTGGTGATATAGTATAGTTTTCTCTCTAGGTATGCACCATTATTTGTGAGTAGTGCCAATCAGGATGGAGTGGATAGATCATCAAAGGGGGTGCACAAAGTGTGTTTTTTTGTTGTGGGTAACTATATTTGTTTGTCATGTAATTGATCTAAAGTAACTTAAAGTAACTAGTTAGTTACAAATGTCGTATGTTAGTTATCTAGCGAGGAGAAAATACTACCTGATTGACATGGTGTGTCAATCTATGATGGATATGATATATGAGATGGCCTTGGTTGGTATTCAACACGTCTCGCCCATCATTCCATGAACTCCGCTCGCTCACACGACCCTATCAATCTTAAATAAACAAAAAGGAAAGAAAGAAAGAAAGAAAGAAAGAACGGGAAGTGGACTTTTCGAAGACAGACACCCCATCCCTTGCATCCTGTCTTTACTGGTAAAACTAACTAAATCGTCACGAGCCTTCGCTTATTCCCACACCGGGTGAGCTTTTTTTTGATATTACAGAGCTCGGAAGTTTAGGCGCGGCACCTAAAGCTAGCCAGCCTTTTTACTTCTACAGTTGTTAAGACTGGGTTGTTGCTGAGGGATCACGGAAATGCAACAATACAACAATGCACACGACCTCAGGCAAGGACCATCGCCATCGCCGGTGCATAAGGCGTGACTGACGACCCAAGGCAACCGGCGGTGGCTCGATTTGGAATGCAGCGAGGCGGAAGGTACTGTACATTACACTGTGTGGGGGGGTGTCAATGTAGCGGAACGATATAGAAGTGCTGTAGGAAAGTGTTTTGAGTTGGTCCAACAGATCGCACTGGCGGTTGGCCACGCTGTGTATGTATGGATGGATGTATGTATACTGGTATTCATGCCATACCTACACTTTTTCCGGTGATGAGCTGTGTGGTTTTAACATTCCATGGGTTGGTACAGCACGGCTCGGGACTGGTAGAAAGTGGCTGTTGTAAAGTGGCTGCTGTCGCTCCAATGACATTTTGATATTTGTTACATGAGCAGAGACGGATTGCTCAGCAACGGTTATGCAATGTGTCACATTTTTATATCAGTATACTTTAGGTCGTTCGTCCTCCTGAGTTTAAGGAAAGAAAAAATCTAAATTTACCAACCTTTTTCAATTGAGTCGTTCTCCACATATAGTTACGATTCGAGGCAAACGGTAGAGCATCTCTGACAACTGTTTCGTTAACCTCCCTCCCTAATGCGTATTCATTCCCGTCCCTCTAGCGGGACGCGGTTTTTTTTTCTAGCAGTCAGCATGAATCAACAAACGATAGAAAATAAAAAACTTGCCACAAGGGGCACTCCGCATATTTCCTCAATCCCTACAATTTAGTTGCCAATTTTGCTCTTCATACAGTTCAAGCTGATACAAGCAAGCAACAGACACCAGACAGGCTTCAAAGTTGAACGAAGTTGAACAGAATATGCCCACGATCCAAGTTGCTGTTTCCCAACCACAATCGCCTTCCAGGAAAGATGCCAAACAGTCATGGATTTCACGCTTAAGGAGACTGCGGAATTTATCACAGTATCATAACATCTCTATTTATCAATAAAGGAGAAGTATTTGCTCTGGGTACGATGTTGTTATAACCCTCTCTTCCCTAGCCTGTTGACTACTGTTGACTATTTGAAAGCATAAAGAAAATGGAAAGTGATATATTGCTACGAGCAAGAAGACGTCTACTAACTATGCTAGGATTTAACATCTCGAGGGCAGTACCTGCTAGTGACGTCATCGTTGCGTTTCTTATCTTAGGTTTTGTTTTTTGTGGATTAGCCCGGTAAAGCTTGTGGTAGCTCGCGGTTTTATACATAGGTCTAATAGGCCCCTTCATTTCCCTACAAACTCCTATTTTGAATGGAGGCAATCGGGTAGCTTAGTTAGGTCCCTAGGTATTTTAATAGCATGTGACAAAGTCCCTGGCTCTAACACAGTTGTTTTGTTACTTGGTAGTTTGTCAAAAGTATACTCTGTTTTCTTGTCCGGGCCGTGTGGCGTCTGATGCTGGAACCCCATATCTGCTTAAATACCTGTTGCTTTAGCATAATATGGGGGCGAAATCTATTATCGCTTTTTGCTATCACTAGCTAACGATTCCTCGATCTCAATATCTATAACTGATACACTGACGTCACTTCTAACACACTTGTTTTAGAGATAGGGGCAAAGGTAGGAAGAAAAGCAAATATCTATCGAGTGAGGAAATATCTTCAGAATTACACTCCGCTTTTAACACCCCACCGCTCCGGGAACAGGGAAGGAGGCTCGCATAATCCAGAGGCGATTCTTGCTAAAGACACTACGTCACCGCTGGAAACTAGGCCAGCCCATACCAGGTAAATATTTGACCTCATGGGTGTTGTTGGTGTTAAAAATGCCAGGAGCAAGTGTGTAAGATATAGAAATATACCCGTCTGATTATTTCGTTTTTTGTCTTTTTGGTAAACTCAAGTAGAGGAAACGGCATATAAAACACCTTCAGTGCGGAAGTTCATGCTAGCATCTTTTATTGGACCAAAACGTGGATAAGAAGGCGTCGGAAATTCAAGAGCATAAGCGGAGGAACGAAAAAGAGAGACTAGGAGAAAGACGTCATATCGGAAATGCATCGCCTATCACGGAGAGTCGTTCCGCAGCTAAGGTTGCAAGCACAAGCTTACTGCTCGCAGTCGCGCTTGCCAGCTAAGGCATTATATCAACCTGGAAAGGGACGAAGGAAATATTCCAATTCCGAAGCATCGCCTGGACCAACTAAAGAGAAAGGGAGGAGGGGCGCCGCATATGGCAGTGGGAATGGTGACGGTGACTACTTCTGTCCCACCCCCTTTTCCCGCATCTTCGAGCCTTGACAAAGAGTGTTGGTTAATTAACCTGATCCACATGGCCATAGAAAACGAACATTACTCTCGAAAACACCAACCACCCCCAGAGAGTTCCGAACGGGATTCCTTCTCAGAAGAGTTCGAGCACCGGATTCCATCCAACAAGGCTCATCCTACGCTCAGTGACGAATATCAGCACAGCGGCGCCGATTCGCAGCACCCCAAGCGTCCGGAACTAAGTCCTGAGGAACGAAAAATACAGGATAAGGTCGAGGAGGATGTGAAAAAGCATAATGAGGAGATGAAAAAGAGATATGATAGGACATATGTTCAACTTGGTAATCACGGCGAGTTTAGAGCATTGGAGGAAGAGGTTGAGGAGTTTAGGAATCGGGTGAACTAAGTTGGTAAAGATATTGGCGCATGCTACTATTTTTCGCCCGTTGGAGTTGGATTCTCATATATGAAATTAGCGGACTTTCAATTCGTTGGGTCTTCTCTGGGCAGTCTCCATATGCTATTCTTCGGCGTTCCTTATCGCGAATCGTTGGTTCATTGAATAGCTGACCAAAATTGTCAATGGGTAGAAGCGGTATTGAGCCCAGAGAAGAATGGATGCATATATTTATACTTTGGATAAAATCGAGCTTTAGGGGCATTGGATCGTTCCAGTGACGTGATGAAAAGCAGCTGGGAGATAGCAGAGAGACTCCATTGCAGAACAATGAAGTATTGTCTACACAGAATGTATTATATTGAGTGTTTAAATACGACATGTATAAATATATAAATAACAGAATATCCATGTAAAATTACCCAGTGCTCTGAAGCAACGGTGTTTCTTCTGAATGATGGTTCTCCTCGTTGCCGCGATGAGCCTCGACCCCGTTGGTGCCATCGTCCGTTCCCGAAGTATCCGCGGGGCTTACGTTAGTTTCTGCTTTCGATGGATTGATATATTCGAAATAGATCCCCATAATGAGCAGGGTCCCTTGGAGTAGGGCTGTGACCACATAAACCCCCCAGGTGCTCCAGCCCTCCGTACCTAGACGTGCTGCTAGACTAGCGGCCCATACTAGGCTGCCTGGTGTTTGGATGCACATCATCGGAATACTCAGGCTGCCAACCCGGCGTAGGCGGAAGGTTGTATAGATCTGAGGGAAGTATTGGATGGATGATAGAATGGCCGCGAAGATGCCGAAAAGGTTTGCATAAAATTGACGCTTGTTTGGATATGCAACAACAATAACGATGGCAACGATGGCGGTCGCTATTGTCTGAAGAATACATATTCCAGCGACTAAGATGGCAATTCTGAAGGAGTGTGTCCCGGGTGAGGATTGCTTAACAATGGAAGGGGTCGAGCGGGGATAGAAGATGACAAAAAGGAAAAGGCTGAATTATTTGGTCATGTTAGTATTTTCCAGTAAATTCCTATCTTATGCCCATCCATTTGGATGGAAGGAATACGTAGGGGAAGATATTGCTCATCTCACATGATCGCAAAACAGAGTGCCTGCACGCCGACCTGGAATATGCCTAACAGCCCAGCAAAGCAGGAGAACCCATCAATCTCTTTGCAGCAAGCAATGTCTTCTCCACTTCTTGGGAGCACAAGGATGTTTGAAAAAGAAAAAGTCCCAGATGTAGTTCCTAGTAAAATAAAATATGGAGATATTCCGAAGGAAGACCGCCGGGATATAATTCTGTGATGTTGAGGAACATACGAGAGAAGAATGCCAAACAAGATGCATCTATAATACCAAAGGTATATTAGTGAAAGTTCCTTGCAATCCACAATTCCAGTAGCTGATATTTACATTGAGAGAGCAAAGTTCCACGGATTTGGTGACGCCAGGGCCTTGCAATGCGGGCCAATCGACTCTTTCATGATGGGCTTTTCGCGGATGTTGGCGTCAGGTAATCGCAAGTCGGGTCATGGATACTGGTAAGGTAGGTCTCAACTGATATACGTGATCTGTGGTACGTATGCCCCTCGCATCATTGCGTTGTAGAAACCGAGTAAGTATATTAAATGAAAGCTGTGAGTTAGATATGATGTCCAGAAGAGGTTGGTTTGAGGCTCCAAGTTTCTATGGTGTCAGATGGGGCTTCTTGACATGCTGATTGGCTATAATCAAGCCTTGGCTTAGTTATTACTAACCGATTTGTGTAGTTAACTAACTAGTGGTTATCTTACCGAGGCATCAAGCTTGGATATCAATCAGCTCTTTATCAAAGCATAGATCGCTATTAGTTTGCTCTAAAAACCCTTAGAGGTCGATGCGGCAAGCACGAAACGGCTATTTTCAAGGCCTTGGCTCATATCTTCACCTAGATTTCCAAGGAACGCATCCGCTGGCCAAGCTAACGCAAAATTTAGCTCCGTCATACGTCACACCAGTGTCATCGGCCTCCAAACACGTTCGACTTTGCCCATTTTCCGCGAAGATGTTGCTGTATGCCTTTCGTTAACTCAACTCTATGCAAAAGGTCCTTTATAAGTTATAATTAACGTAAAGCGTCCTTACCTCCCTATCAAGCATCCGGATCAGGTGCCTACACCTTTCGTTCTTGATACATGCCATTGCTATCGGCGAATTATTGCACTTGTACATAAAAAAGCCAACATGAGACTCTCATGGGCCTTGGGCCTTGTGGTCACTATATTAACCGTGACGGAAACAGCGTGTTTGAGGAACTGGTTTAGTAAAGCTGGTATGTCTGTCTAACGACGATGCAGGCTGGTGTTTGCCTTGCATCTGTTCTGCCTCAATTTCTTCCCATACGTTTATCTACCTGCTGTGGGTCTCTGTGAAGATACTCTTGAGGATGAGGAAGACTAACTATGGAAATGCTACAGTATACAACAGATGGCACGAAACAGAGCTTGAACGTTGGCTTTCTGACCACGGCGAGTTCCTTCCATTATCTTGACAACGCCACAGCGACATAAACTGGAGCGTGGCTAACATTTATGTAGATATCCCATATCCTACCCCAGCGGATAGAAAAGATCTTGAAGAGCTCGTGAAAAATAATTGGGAGTCGCGCGTGCAAATTCCCATCCATCACACGGCAGAACATGTGGCTGACTATCTGGGCGATGCGAAGGAGTGGATTTTTGATACGTATGCGTTCCTCGAATTTACTAAGAAATTCATTGATTGACCTTCTTTTTAATAGCTGGAGTGATTCCCAATTGAAAACCTTCCTTGATAAACATGGAATTTCTAGCCCACAACCAAACAAACGTGATAAACTGTTGGCGGTAGTACGAGAAAACTTCGAAGCCATTGCTCGAAAACTTGGACAAACCACATTCTATCCTGGGAATTGGCTTTATGAGCAATGGTCAGAATCCGATCTAAAGGAATACCTCGACAGCCATGGGTATCACTTACCGCAGCCAACAACTCGGGATAAACTGGTTGCTAGCGTACGGCGTAACGCTCGTCTTGCGGGTATAAAATCTCGCCAAGCCGCCGCTTCCGCATCTTCGTCAGCGGAGGCTGCTCAGAAATCGTTATCAGAGGCCTTGTTTAATGCCTGGTCAGAATCTGAATTCAAAGAGTTTTTCGATAAGCACGGAATCAAGGTCCCTCAGGGTTCGCGACGCAACGAGCTTATTGCCCTGGCACGAAAACATCGGGCTTCTTTGCTACAAAAGCCCACTGCATCAATCACACATGCGTATGGTGCGGCAACTTCAAAAGCTGGAAACGAATTTGCTCGTGCGACGGAGGATGTACGACTCAGAGCGGCAGATATGTTCAATTCTGCCATTAGTCAATGGTCTGACTCACGCCTCAGGGCTTATTTGGATGCGCGTGGTGTTCAGGTGCCGCAGGGAACGAAACGAGATGAACTCCTTGCCAAAGTGCGCCTCCACAGGCGCAAAGCAATGACTGGATTCTCTGCTTGGACATTTGATACCTGGACCAAGGAAAATTTAGGGTATGACAAAAATCACACCTTTCTCTATCAATTTTTGCGGACTGCATGTTAATGCTGTGGAATATAGGAAATATATGTCTTCCCAGCATCAGAAGATGATGGAAAACGTTGAATATACCCGCGATGAACTCCTGAGAAAGGCAAAATCCGCATACAACCAAGTTTCTAGTGCCGGTGGAGAAGATTTCGCTGCCGTCACGAACTATTTAACGCAGCAAGTTAGCTCAACCAAGGACGCTGCATTCGACACCTGGTCCCGGGTTGATCTGGAAAAGTACATTGATTCATACGGTCTTAAAGGATATAAGACCTGGGATATTGACAAATTGCGTGCGGAAGCTAGGCGGAATGCTAATTTCTTCCGCTACGGAGAACTCGCGCAGGAGGCCACGCTTGTTTCTCGGTTGGAGGGTGGCATCCAGTGGGTCTTGGACCAGCTGAAAATCGGGATGTTGAGTGGCAGGAGGGAGGGGGAAAGAGTAGCTGATAATATCAAGGAAACAGTTTCACATGGTACACAACGTATGGCCGACGAACTCTAAAGAGAACACTTGGAGCCTATCCTTCCTGACTTCTGCAACGAGTCAAAAACATGGATGGGTGTTCTGCGAGAGTATGAAATTGTGTTAAAAAATTAATGTACCGTACAAACTGCTTTTTTTTCGGTGTCCATTTTGCTCTTTCTTACCCTCCAGTTTTGTCAAAATGTTTGTTCTTCATGCTCTTCAGTTTGCTGTTTATTCTTCTATTAATTTTGATGGCATGACATGATTGATTAAACTGTAATGATGGCAGTTATATGAACATAGTTCAATCCGATAATGAGAAACGAGATCAAAAAAGAGGGAAGCTTTTTAAGGTACTCCGTACAGAAAGCGACATCCTTTTTCCTACTTCTTGCGCTTTCCTTGACGCTTACTTTTACCTGAATACATCCCGTAATTCTTGCTTGGGGCATACTATTTCCAAGAAGAAGATTGTATGCTTTACTTTTCCTTTCTGATCAGGTCTAAACGTTGATATTGTAGGAGGTGGATGTCTATCGAACTAGTGGAAACTAATATAAGTGTGGGTCACGCGTATCCACGCGGCGTATTGGCCAAAAAGCAGCGAAAGAAATCTCCGGCAACAAAGCAGTATATGTCAATTAGAACTTAAAATTACTCTAGGCGTACGTTCCCTGTAATTTTTTGCTCAATTTGTATAGACGTACAGGGGTTCGAGGTG